CCTGCTGAGCATTGTTGAGGACGGGCTGCCCTTGGACACCACCGAGCAACTGCCGGATCTCTGCATGAATCTACTTCTGGCTCTCAATTTGCACCTACCAGGTGGGGGCAGGGCCTGACGGGGGTGGCTGACTCGCCGTAGGGGGGAGGAGGGGGGCTCTCCAGGCTTAGCACCTGTGCTGTTGTCTACCCCCGTGTCCTTCCTCAGCCCCTGACCAGAACTTCATCATGGCCGCTCTGAGCAAACACGCCAATGTCAAGGTCTTCTCCGAGAAGCTACTGTTGCTCCTGAACAGAGGGGGTGAGGGCCCAGGAATCTGTGCGGGGCCCCTTCGATGTCCTGTGATTCCATGACCCCTGTAACTCGCTGGGGTGACTCTGGGCCCCCTCGAGGACTGCCCTGACCCCCTCTTCCCCCTGCCTTCTAGATGACCCCGTGCGCATCTTTAAGCATGAACCTCAGCCGCCACACTCCGTCCTCAAGTTCCTGCAGGACGTGTTCGCCAGCCCCGCCACAGCTGCCATCTTCTACCACACGGATATGATGGCGCTCATCGACATCACCGTGCGGCACATCGCGGACCTGTCCCCTGGAGATAAGGTGCCTGGGGATGGCAGCTGTGTAGAAACTAACAAAAGGGGGGGACCTGACACTGAATGGAGACTAGGGAGAGGGGCACTGCTGGAGCCGGTTAAGTGTGGGAGGTCACTCAGCCATGACAGGTGTGGCTGTCAAGGCCCAAGGGAGCCCTCCATGAGGTGATCAGGGGTGGGCTGTCTGAAGAAAGCAGGGGTGGAGGGAGTTGTGGGAGGTGAGGAGGAGGAAGTAGAGTTTAAACAAAGCCTTGGAGGCTGCGGCGGGAGGTTGTCACCTCTTCTCAGGGGCAGGGGAAGTGATCCGATTACCATCCTGAATGAAACGGAGACTGTGAAAGCACAGCAGGAGCAGGAGGCTGGTGAGGAGGCGGCTGCAGCTGTCCACGTGGCACGAATAGGGTGGGAGAGGAGGTCAGGCCGGGGTGTGTTGGAGGTGGGTTGGCAGGGCTTGCTGCTGGATTGGTCTGGAGCAACCAGGTGGATGAAGTGCCGATTGCTCAGGTGGGGAAGAACCTTTGAATAGAGTTGTGTTTTGACGTGTCAAGACTGAGAAGGTACCTGTTGGACATCCAGGTACAGAGGACCTGGGGTGTGAGTTGGGACTGGAAAGAGACACTTTGGAGTTGGCTGTGCATAGATGTGCTGGGAAGCCTGTGACAGTGCGGTCACCTAGGGTGTGGGATGGATGGGACAGAGGGAAGCGCAGGCCTCAGCCCAGGGCACAGTCGGGGCACATAGGGAGACACCCAGGAGGAAAAGCAAGAGAGCAGGAGCCCAAAGCCACGTATATGGAGGAGGAGGGGGATGAGCCGTCTCCACAGTTAGGAGCCCGAGTGAGATGAGGCCTGAGAATGAGCAACGGGATTCGCCACATGGAGATGAGGCGTGATTCACAAGCAGCGTCCATGGACTGGAGGGAAGAGAGTCCGAATGGGAAGTTGAAGAGAGGATTTGAAGTTGGAGGGGAGTGGGAAGGGGGAAGGTGGGAGCAGTGAATGGAGACAACCTTCATGTGTCTTTAAGTGAAGGGGAGCAGAAAAAGGTGGGGGATCACTGGAGGGAGACATGGGGTCAGGGAAAGTCTTTTAAAGGTGGGAGATGCTGCTGCATGTCTGAGCCAGAGGGAATGATCCAGCACGCCAATCATGGAGAAACGGCTGATGTGTCGGGAGAGTCAGCCGCTGCAGGTGTCAAGTAGGTCAGGCAGCGGGGGAGGGTCCAGGCCCCCCTGGAGGGATGGCCTCCGGCAGGAGCCAGGACAGTTCATTCACTGGGGACAGGTGAGGTGTGGGTGCCAGGGGAAGACCAGGCGTTTCTGAAAGTTTGCTTGTTTTCTGCATGAAGCACAAAGCCAACTGATCAGGCAGTTTAGGTTTGGAAAATGGAGAGAAGGTGGGCAGTGGTCCTTTCAGGAACAGTGAACGTGGCAGAGGAAAGTGGCAGGGGTGCCAGGCAGTGAGGTTTGTGGTGGGGAATGCCGTTCAAGCCTGCACAAGACTCTGTAATTGTCTGCTACTTAGCTTCTAGGATTTGATTGGCAGGTGCTTTTTGGTCTGACCAGGGGTGGGAGTTAGCAGGGTGATGCTGCCTAAAGAAGGTTTGAGTATTGACTCCTCTAATCAGAGGTAAAGAGAGAAATGAGAGATGGTGAGGGGAGGAAATGGAGGAAAAAGTGCTGGCGCCAGGTCAATGGATCAGGGTCTCAGTGAGGATAAGGAGCAGCTGGGGTGTCAGATTGGAGTGGTTCTTGGAGCCGTTAAAGCCAGAGGTGCTGGGAGGGTGGGTTGGCGGGGAGTGTTGGAGATGGATTCAGGGCACACGTAGAAGGTAAGACGGCCGGGTCTTACTGGGACGGATTGGATTCGGGGTGTGGGGAGAAAGGAACCGGAGGGGACACGTGCAGTTTTGGCTCGAGCACTTGAATGGACAGCAGTGCTCTTTATTAAAATAAAGAACACGAGAAAGCCTTCAGCTTTGGGAAGATGGGGAAGATCACGAGTTTGATGGTTGTTATGTGAGTTTGAGTTCTCTCTGAGATAAGCAGGAGGTGACAAGTGGGCAGTTGGATTTTCTCATCTGCAGCTCACCGGAGCATCTCTGCAAGAGGTTTGAGTGGGGGTCACTATTTGAAGCTGTGGGTGTGAATGAGATCTTCCAGGGTGAGAGGATAGAGTGAGAAGCAGAGGGCCTCCAACAGACAGACAGCAGCCCCACAGGGGCCCAGCATTACAGGAGGGATGGGGGCTCGCTGCTTCCCCTCGGCACCTCTCTGAGGCAGGACTTCCCTGGGCCGGCCGTGTTCTGGGACTGTGTGTGTCTCAGATGATTTATTTATTCACTTACTTATTCAACGACTATCAAAGGCCAGTTCTGTGCCAGGTCCACTCTGGGTGCTGGGGATGCAACCTTGATCTTCAGTGGTCTGAGGTGGACCACAGCCCTGGGGTCCGTGTGGCTGCCAGGAGGCAGTAGTGGTCTGTCTCTGTCTGATGGCAGTCTCAGTGCCTCCCTGGGGTCCCTGAGCTTGCCTGGTCTCCCCACAGCTTCGCATGGAGTACCTCTCCCTGATGCACGCTGTGATCCGCTCCACACCCTACCTACAGCACCGCCACCGGCTTCCCGACCTGCAGGCCACACTGCGACGCATCCTAACCGAGGAGGAAGCCTCGCCCCAGTGTCAGATGGACCGCATGATTGTCCAAGAGATGTGCAAGGAATTCCCGGTGCTGGGCGAGGCCCCCAGCTAGCACCTTCTTTTCCTCCCTTCCCTGCAGCCCTGGGTAGGGTGCAGGGGACTCAGAGGCTTGGCCCTAAGGATGTTTTGCACTGACAGTGTGAGGGGAGGTGATGGTGGAAGGGACCTAAGCAGGGGCCCCCACCTGAAATAGAGCTAATGAGAGGGGCCAAGCGCAGGATTAGGGACCATGCGCTGGGAGCTATGCTGGGGCAGGGGGAGTGTGAACTGAAGCCCCTCCATCTCCCGCTGGGCTGCCTCTTCAGCATGTCTCCCCACCCCATACACATGCACACTCAAGAGTCCTGCTGCTGCTCCAGGCTGGGCCAGAGCCCTCATCCCCTGCGCCCACCTGGTCTGTGTCCTGGGCTTCAGCAAGCCGTGTCCCTGGGGTGAGAGGAGGCACCTTCCGCCAGCTCCGTTCTTTGCCTTAGCTTCGCAGTGAGTGCTGCTCATGTGCTCTGTCCCCCCAGCTGCCACCCCGTGGGGGTCTCTGCCCCTCACTTCAACCCCCAGAGGTCTTGGCCAAGCTGCTTCTTTGAAAGCAGAGTCTTAGAGACAGGCCATCCACCCTGGAGCCTCACAGAATGAGGTGATGGCACTGATAAAGCCAATGACAGAATCTATTTTCTCTGTAAAAACGTAGACTGAAAAGCCATGTGTATTTTCCTATGTGCTGCAGCTCAGCTTGGAAATAAATCACAGGCATCTGGAAACAGGCTTCCCTGTATGATCCTGAGTGGTGGTGGGAGAGGATGGTCAGGGGCACTGGGGCCTCAGGACCTCGTCACTAGCTTGCCCTGTCCTCTCCAGCCTGAGGAGGTGATAGTCCCTAACAGGCCTCTCCATCGACGTCCCTTGAGCCCTGTTCCAGCCTCTCTTCCCTGGGTTCCCACTTCTCCTGGGCCACAGCCACAGCCAGAGAGCCCCATGGTCCATTTGCAGGTGACTGCCCCTCCAGGCTTCACTTACATCTTTCTTTGCCTTGAATGCTGTGTCTGTCTCCCCTGTTGAAACCCTATATCCTTTACACCTGTCTCAAATGAAGCGGCTCCTATCCAAGCCCTGGCCTCCCTGAACTCCTAGGCCTGCCCAACTGTTTCCCTTCCTTATTTGTCTTCCTCTGGATCCAGTGAGGTTCCCTCATTTTGCAGCCTTAGCGGAGATTTGGTAATTACGGTAGGACAAAAAGAATATCTCAACAAGTGTGGGGTTAGTTGTGCACTGTTTGAGGGGAATCAGAGGCCAACGTTGGTCAAAAAACTTTTTCCTCGTGGGCTCCCCAGTTAACGAAGGCTGACACCATAAGTTGGGGAAGAGAGTCAGAACCTGTAGGCAGACACCAGGCAGCAGTGGTTTCCATCAGTTCCCTTCAGTTTGTTACCCAAGACGATTCTCATCAGATTCCACACATCCAGAATCACTGATACTGTGACTTCTCGCCACGACTTTTCCTTTCTTAATGGGGTGCTGAAGGCAGAGGGCTCTTACTCTCCCAGCAGAACGGAATACGGCAAGAAGCCCAGCAAGGCCGGTCCAGGGGTGGGGTCCCAGGGAAACAGGTCCATGGGAGCAAAGCACAGGAGGCCAGCAGGGAGATGTCCTTCCTGACCTGTTGACTCTTCCAGAAGTTTAAGTACACAGGCTCACCTGGACCTGAGGAGGAGCTGACACAGTTGTCTGCAAGAAAGCTCTGTGTGGTACAACCTGGTCACTTCATCCTGGAGGCCTCTGCCTCCCTTCCACAGACGGAATCAACAACGCTGACTTCCAGGTACAGCTCCTTTCTCATTGAAGTGCTGAAGGCGGAGAACCATGGTTCTTCTCCTGAGAGCGAGTAACTCAGTGATAAGCACAGGTCCTCAGGAAGCTGAGGCAGGAACATTTGATAGCCTCTGTGCCTTGCTCTGTTTGCTGTTAGGCTGCACACACTGACCTCGTGGGAAAAGCAGAGCAGTGCTGTGCCATCTGTCCTAGTGCTGGCCCCCGTGAGAAACAAAGTGCAGCCCCGTGGCTGGAAGATCAGAGCCCCTGCCCATTTCTGCATGATTGTCCAAGGGGCCCTTGCATGTGTTTGTAAGGAGACACTCAGAAGGGCCAGGACTCCAGGACCGTCAATAAACACCTTGATGGTGTCTCACCGCACAGAATTAAAGCTACCAAGGACAATGACTAGCCAGAGAATTCCTCAGGGAAGGAACTTTCTGAGAGAATACCTCTGACTGGAAGGATGTGGATGTGGTTAGGCAGGGGAAAGGGCAAAGAGAGGGAAAACTAAGGCACTCAAAGAAGGGAGTGATAGGGTGGGGCTGAGGAAAACTCAAATTTTGAGGGGCAGTGAGCGCTGGGCGTTTGGGCCAACCTCTGGGCTAGAAGTGGGTCCCTACAGGTGTGGCACCATGTCTGTGGGACATGTCTGAGTACAACATGCTACACGTGCATAAGACAACTCCAGGGTAAGGGGTTGGGTGAAGACCACCTGCCTGCTCAGTCCCCAAAAGATACAGACTGAGTCTCCAAGTATGTGAGGATAACCTTTTCTTTTTCTCTCTTATTTAATGGAAGAATAACATACTATGAAAACTACAGTATGCAAAGAGTACAGCTTAATGAATTATGACAGAAGATGCTAATGTAGTCACCACCCAGTGTCACTAGTTCCCAAAGCCCACTGTGCACCCCTCTCATCACCAACTCCTTCCTTCTTCCCAGACCTCTTCCCTAGACGTAATTACTGATAAGTTTTGCCTGTTTTTGAACTTTATATAAATAGAACCATATAGACACTGGCTTCTTCACTCACCAAGTTTTTGAGGTTTGTCTGTGTCATAGTATGTGATTGCAGTTCATTCCCAGTGTCGTGTGGGTTACACCCTCATTTATTTATCCACAGTTAATGATTGTGGATAAATTTCAGTTTCCAATTTTTGTCTATTACAAATCGTGCTGTCAGGAGCACTGTTGTACATGTCTTCTTGTTGCTCATATGCCTTGCACCAGGAGGTATACTCTCAAGAGTGGAATTGCAGGGTCACAGGCAGAAACTGCCAAATAGTTTCCCAAAGTAGTTGTACCAGTTTACTCTCCTCCACTGGTGCCTGAGTTCCAACTGCTCTATATCTTTCCCAAAACCTGGTATTGTCAGTCATTTTCATTTTAGTCGTTCTGGTGCAGTATAGTAGTATTCACTTTTACACTTGCGTTTCCCTGACGACTAAAGAGGTTGAGCGCCTTTTCATTAGTTTACTGGCTATTTGGATCTTCTCTTGTGAAGCACCTGTTCACATCTCTTGCACATTCATCGACTGGGTTGTCTATCTTTTGTTGGTTTGTAGTATGTATTCAGGATATGAGTCCTTGGGTTGTATATCTTACAGTATCTTCTCCCATTCTTAACATCTTTTGATGAAAGGAAGTTCTTAATTGTAATGTAATCCAATTTTTCAGTATTTTACTTTATGGTTAGTACATTTTGTATCCTATTTAAAAAATATATATTTGCGGGCTTCCCTGGTGGCGCAGTGGTTGAGAGTCCGCCTGCCGATGCAGGGAACACGGGTTTGTGCCCCAGTCTGGGAAGATCCCACATGCCGCGGAG